ACTCGTCTTTCCTAGCAGAGTGAGTATGCAGACAGCTACTCGCCTCGCACTGCGAGCGAGGCAACACACAACAGCCTCCCTCGTTTAAAAGGAGCGCGAGCAAACAAGCAGCGCTAGCTCGTTTGGCGAGCGAGCCAAACTTCTCGTGCCTCGCCTCATTGCAGCTACGAGTACGAGCTGCGAGCGCCTCGTTGTCTGCGAGGATTGAGTAGGAGTTTGCTTGCGTGCTCGCTCGAACTCCGAGTTTTTGCCCACCCTGGTCATAAATGATAGATTTCTATATCATACGTGAGAGAACAGACTTGACGAATTTTTACATCAACTATGAGTAATCAACAATGATATGAAAACATGTCAGACTTGATGTGTCATCAAGTTTGATTGCACATTGCTGACTTATATTTCTATCAAGGTTGATCACTCATAATTGTCGAAGATTTACATCACTGATGATTAAAATTTGAATGCCGAACTCAAAGGGAGTAAGCAGTATAGCAATATGCCAAAACGTATATGTTAGAAGGATATGAACCATCACACGTATACAAAAGTTTCCATCAAATTTTTCACACTGCCCTTTAGAATTTGATAGGCACTTGTAGGTAGCCACCCTACCAGACACGACTAACGCAAACTCCAATACATTCAAACAAAAATTGCTATTTCACCAACACACTCAAAGCCACATGTCAAAATTTTGTTTTCGTTCAATTCACGCAGATTCTTTCTCACATTGCTTCTTCTATAAAGGTTTATGTGTACAAAGGTTATGTGTGGGTCTCTTTGACCACAATATGGAAAATTCTTCAATTTTCTTATTTTTTCCTTATTCCCATTTTTGACGTTTGCCGTTTTGCACGTGGAGCTAACCTAAAATTTAATTTAAAAGATTTTCTGAGGCGAGCGGTTGCATCTGATTGCATGTTTTGTAATTTGTATCAAAAATAAATAAAATGAAAGAAAACAACCACTCCAAGGTTAAAGGAAAGTATAAAGTGATACTAAAAATGCAAAAACGCCATTTTGCTAATTGCTTGAGCAAGGAGAAGAACACCTTTGAAGATTTTTTTTGTGAAGATTTTGTGCCCGAATGTGAGGTTAGTGCGTCCAATATCAGGGCTGAAGATGTTGCGCCCGAATGTGAATTAGGAGATCTAGTAGCTATGGAGAATAGCCAAAAAGAAAAAAGTGCAGAATTAAAAGCATGGGCATTACGAAGCAATATTTCCCAACACGCCTTAGACGATTTGCTTCAAACTTTACGACGTATAGGAGTAGGCAACTTGCCGCTTTCCGCAAAGACTGTTTTGAGTACTCATAGACGAAAAGTTGAAGTAAAGTCCATTCCAAATGGAGATCTTTTGTATATGGGTATTCAAGATCATTTTAATTCAGACTCCTTTCACTTTTTAAATAAAAAATCTGAAGTCCTAATAGATGTAGGCATCGATGGTCTTAAGCCATTTAGCAGCTCAAATCGAGTTTTATGGCCAATTCTGGGGTCGATAGTGGGTTTTAGTGAAATGCGTCCATTTTTAATAGCATGTTTCTCTGGACTTAAAAACCAGAAAAGATCGATGACTTCATGAAAGATTTTTGCGAGGAAGTAAAACTACTAAGAACAAGTGGCTTGAGAGTAGGCTCGGAAGAAAATGCAAAGAAATTCAACGTGCGCCTTTTTACTTGCGATTCCCCAGCTCGATCTTTCGTCAGTGGTGTTCAATATTTTAACGGAAGAAATGGTTGCCCAAAATGCAATCAAGAGGGCAAATATGTCCATAGAAGAATGACCTTTTCAAAGGAAATTGGCGAGAGAAGGATAGACGAATCCTTTACCTTGCGAGCAAATTTGTCGCACCTTAGCCATGAGTTCAAGGAACGGAAAAGTATTTTAGAGAAAGCCGACTTCAATATGGTTTCGCAATTTCCCCTTGACTGCATGCACCTAGTAGATTTATGTGTACTTAAAAAATTGTTAAATTTAATTATTAAGAACGGCAATATTTCGAAAGTGAACGAAAAAATCGACTTCCTTGCTGAGCACGTTCCTTCCGAATTCGGTAGAATATCGAGAAATCTGGGAGAACTTAAAAATTGTAAAGCAACAGAATTCCGTCAATTTTTATTATATACAGGCATATTTGTTTTGGAAGATTGTGTTGATGATGACGTATATTACCATTTTCTGCTGTTACATGCTGCAATTAGGATTCTTTCTAGCGAAAGGTCATGCATAGTAGAAGCTGATATTGCTCAAAACACGCTTCTAGAATTTGTATTTTATTTTGGCACATTGTATGGCTAATCAGTTTTAACATTCATGGATTACTCCATTTAGCAGATTGTGTGAAACAGTACGGCCCCCTTGACAATTTTTTAGCTTATAAATATGAAAATCATATGCAATTTCTAAAAAAACTTATTAATAAACCGAACAAAATTCTCCAACAACTGTATTCGAGACTTGGGGAAAGGCAAGGACAAGAACTACATGACGAGATTTCAAAAAAATCTAATTCTTTTCAAATAGATGTTAAAGAAGAAAGAAATTCCTTCTGTTTTTGTAAAGAATTAGGACCGGTAAAAATTGTTAAATATTCTCAAACGGATAAGGTAGTTTGTCGAATTTTTAAAGTATTGGAAAATGTATTTGAACTTCCCCTGGAATCATACTCTAGATTAGGTATTGTCTTAGCAAGCCAGTTAGGCGATGAAGTAATTGGAGTAAAAAAAGAATCGCTTGAACATAAATACTTTTGCATTCCACGTGAAGGGCACTTCATACTTATTCCGCTGCTGCATCAACTTTTCCACGAGTTTTCGAACTAATATGTTTTAATTTGAAAAAAAAAAAATATATATATTGTACATAATTTTTTTTTGCATGCATATACGTTAATACATATCCATATATACTATCTACAATCAACCCAGCAATGGCATCGACATCAGTAAAGGGTGAGAAAAAAAATCTATTTAAAGCATTGTATATTTAGGAACATATGTTGGTATATTTAATAAGTTTTTCGCTTCCAGGTTCGAAAATCATGAAGCGGAAGTACGATCGTGGACATGCTAAGGACGAAGTGCGAAAAAAACAGCCCTCAATCAAAAATGAACAAACCGACGGCTAGGGTTGCCAGATTTTTTATGCGCGAAATCAGTACGTTGGGCTTTTTCCTGCTAGAAAAATCAGTACTTTTCAGTACATTTTTATTCAAAGCAAAATTATGAATGTAAGTATCAGATAATACTTTATAACGCCTGAGTAGTTGTTTTTAACAATATGTTGGTACATATATAATTAAAATATAGTTCATAAGAAAAGTGTTATTCATTTTAACATGAGTGTACACATCATGACATTTTTGAATAGCAATAATGAGATCATTTCCATCTTCAGTGTTTAAATAGTCAAAGAGTTCTATATATTTAATTTTAAAATTACTTTTAATATGAAGTACACTTTAAAAGAGGCTGACTTCCAAAACGTATCAATACAATGTTTGGATACTGTTATACTACGGTATTCAAACTGTTTATATACGCAGAGTTACGACACATTGCAACCAGATACATTGCATATTTTAAATTTTGAATATAGCAATGAACAATTTTTCTGAATTTTCCATTTTTAAAACACCAATGGTAACCAATAACAAACGAAGCATCAACTTTGTTTCTGATGCGCTGATTGCTCAAGCGCTGCGTTTCGATAACTTTTCGGATGCGTTTTGGAAAAGTATACATTGTCAATATTTTGTAGTTCGGCGTTATGGAACATTATACTTTGTACGTATGCAAAGCAATTGACGTTTTGGAAGTCAGCCAGACTTTAATAAGAAACTTTATACTTAACATCTTCTCAGTTGCTTAGTGTGGCATCGAAAAAAAACAATTACATATTTTTTCAAACTGTGGAAAAGTACCCCTATTTAAGGACTTCATCTATAATTTCTCATGGCTTAAATTAATTTTTTCAACTACTAAAAAACTTCTAAAGGCTAAGAATTCGTTAAAAAAAGTATCTAACTCTATGTCTTGTATGCAAAACTCTTTTACAATATCAGTAAATTGTGGAAAAAAGAATTGTAAGTTATAGGCAAAAGCCATTCGAATGTTCAAATTTGTTGTTATTAAACTGAAAGTTACTTTAGAGCTAACTAACAACACTCGACAAAAAACGTCAGCCTTATTTTTAAATAATTAAACCTCCGTCACATTATCGCAACTGGTACGTAACGGCGATATGCCCATAAAACGATTGATCTTTTTTTTTTGTATTAATTTCAACTACAATTCAATTATCTTCTTACTTTTTACTGTACAGTTTAAGGAAGTTACAACTTTATGTAAAGACCTTAAGAAAACCCTAAAGTATTTTGTTTGAATTAAAAATTCAGTACAAATCAGTACAAATTTTGAAAAATCAGGACATTAGCGTACTGATTGAAGAAATGAATAAAATCAGTACAAGAGTTGACAAATCAGTACTCTACTGATAAAAGGTTCGTTCGCGTAGCTGTTAATTGTTCATGTTTAACAAAAACTTACAAGTTTTTGCGTTCGCGTACGCAAAAAACTTGCAAAGTAGGGGAAATTGAGAGAGCAAAGTGACATTTCATTTTGAGGGGAAGCTGCTGGTTTCTGCTGGAAAAACTTTTGCCAACAGAAATTTGCCAACAGGAAAACAGCTGATTAAAAACAGCTGGTTGGCATTTACGCAAATCACAAAATTGAATTTGATGGTTTGGAAGTTAAAAATTACAAAATGCGACTAATTAAACTTGTAAGAAGTAAGTAGTTATTTGTTTAATCAATAAACTGTACCAGGATACCACTTTGTAATGAGTTTTCGTACGTTTTAAATTTTACACTTTTGAATGTAAACAAAAATTTATGTCAGCTGTTCGTCTAACTTGCAAGTTTCTGCAAATTTTCTGTTCGCGTACTATTTTGGATATTTCTCTCTTGTGAGCGAACAGATGACATTTCGCCGGAATTTGGCAGTTGGCTGGTTTCTGTTGGAGATTTTAAACGAACGCACCTAAAATCAGTATGTCTAGCAACCGTACCGACGACACACCAACCGAGATCGTACCAACCGACGAAGCATCAACGGGACTTACAGTCGATTCCGAGTACTTCGAAAATGTATTGAGGCTATTGAAAGAAGTAGTACAGAAGCAAAACCAGCTGGAGCAAAGATTAAACAATGAAGTATGTTTTTTTTTTTTAACTTTTTCACATTACTCTATATGTATTATTTATTATAACAGTAAATGTCTATTTAACTTATAACATCTAGATGGTGACAAAAGCGGAGTTTGCTGCCCACAACAAAATGTTATGCGAAATGAAGGTAGCAACAAAGAAAATTGAGGTATGTTTTTGCAAGATGACAGGCGAAGGTAGCGACTCAATAATGGACGCAATAGCAAGTATGGTGCCTATGACAACGATGGCCGCCGTACTCGAAGTGGAGGAAAAGTGGGCAGACCCGAACTACACCCAAGCTATGGTATTGACTTGAACACTTCAATCTCAAATTTTAAACTTTTAATCATATTTATATTTCAGAAAACGTATCTCCTCAAAATAAAAGGTGTCTCTGACGACGTTGACGTTGTAGTCAAACATTTGTTACAGGTTCAACTGGGAGGGTAAGTGGCAAAAGCGTGCCCTGGCGGAGCTGACTATGGTGGACAAAGTGCTAAGTGGTATATGATCTACATTATTGAAGATTTCTGAATTTTCTTAACTTTCTCCTCTTTTTTTTACAGATATTTACAAAACGCTTGGCGTTGCCGGATTTGAAAGGAACGTGAGAAAATCGGTAGGGCTCAGTCACAATCGATTGAAAAAAATTTCTAAAAAGGAACAAAAAAAAAATAGATTTTTTCATATATTCTTCTGATTATTCCTTTTTCTTATTGTTCCTGTTTATACCCGAGCGCACTTGTGCACAAGGGTATATTAACTTTGTTCACATAACGGTTGTTTGTAACAGCCAAAACGAATCGAGATAGATATAGACAAATGTATACATACATAAATGCTCAGAATGAATAGAGAAGTCGATTAAGCCATGTCTGTCTGTCCGTCCGTCTGTCCGTGTACACGATAACTCGAGCAAAAATTGAGATATCTCAACGAAATTTGGTATATAGGTTTCCATTTATCCAAGGTAGGTTGGTATTGAAAATGGGCGAAATTGGACTGTAACCACGCCCACTTCCCATATAACGGTAATTTCCAGAAATATGAAAACTGCGATATTTTAGTAACTACTGAAGATTTACTCAAAATTGATATTTACAATAAATTTTAGACGAAAAATAAGAATATTATAAACTTTTGGAAAATGGGCGTAGCCACGCCCACTTATGGTTAAGTGTGTATATCTTGGTAACCGCTGCACCAACCGCTGCGCTGCTCTTCCAAACTTGGCACAGTTGTTGGCCTTGGTACACCATATCAAATGGCCGAAAATTTTTAAAATCGGACAATAACCACGCCCACATCCCATATAACGGTAATTTGGAGAAATACAAAATCTTCGATAAATCAGTAAATATGAAAGCTAATTTATTCAAAATTGATGCTTGCAACAACTCTTTACCAAGAGATACGTTTATGATAAAATTTTGGAAAATGGGCGTGGCAAAGCCCACTTATTATCAGATATATGTATCTCGGTAACCGTTCTACCAATTTGTACCAAACTCGGTATGGTTATTGTGCTTGCCACATAAAAGCAAAAATTATTGAATTCGGACTAAAATTACGGCCGCTTTTCATATAACGGTAAATTTGAGAAATGCTTGAAACTTCAATATTTCGAAACTTAAGGACGCTAATTTACTCAAAATTGATACACCCCGGCTTACCATGTATTGGTAGCTTTCGGAAAGGTGAAAAACATATATTTAATACTTGCTCCGGGTATCTAATGTTCGGCTCCGCCCGAATTTAGACATTCTTACTTGTTTTTGTGTAAGCTTTGTTGCTTTTAAAGTTTCTAAAATGAATTTTTATTTTTAATTTTTAAATTTAATATACACTTAACAGCTAAAGTCTGCATGCGCCATTCATTTTTTAAATTTTCACAATATTTTACAAGCTAAAATTTGTTTGTTATGTTTTTTTATAAATATATCAATCATGCTTAAAACAAAATCATATAAACCAAGGTTTCAAGTTTTATACAAATTGAGAGCAGGGATGCCGTTTGGATCTAAATAGATCCAATTGGATACAATTTGAGATAAATTTTGCGAAATACCTATTTTTTCCGATCAGTATAAATGTGGTTACTTTTTTAAATAGGCCAAAATTTTATATTTTCTATAAAGTTTTTTTCATTCAAAACTCGATTTTCATTAAAGATGGTGGAGAGCATTACGATTTCGTAATGTATTAAAAACACAGGTCAACAACGTTTTGTTCTAGGAAAGTGTAGGGTCATTTTCGAAGTAATTTTTTGCGTAGAATCCGAATCCGGGGCTTAAATTGCTCTATCACGTCAGGATTTTGAGATATCCTTACCTAAAAGTGCAAAAACGCTGTTTTTTAATTAACTAAAAAGTATGCTTTAATCAAGATCCTAATATATACTTATACAAATTTTTTTTTTAATTATTCTTGCATTTATTTGTTGGATCTGCTTATTTTACATCTATTAAGCCTAACAACAAGTTTAAAAATCTTACGTCTAATTTACAATAATATGGCTCAAACCCTGGGAATGAGCCCGGTTGGTTTAACGTCGCTCAACGAAAGGCTGGTACATATCTTCTTCGCAGGCGTGTTTTATTTGTTGTGTTGCACAGGCCACTTGCCAGTGGATTTGGGTGGTTACGCAGTTTTATTTTATATTTTTCTCTGCTGGTGTCGGTTACAGATTTAACCATCGGTATACCAATCGGTATATTTTCATTGCGGACATACCACGGTGCTCCCGTTAAGGCCCTTAGCGTTTTAGATTGGAATCTTTGGATCCTGTCAATGTAGGTTGCACAGGTCGTACCCCACAGTTGAATACCATACATCCATATAGGCTTAAAGCATGTATTATATACAAGTACTTTATAATCTAGTTTCAGTTTTGATTTACTGCTTATAAGCCAGTTCACGCCAGCTGACTTAAGTTTCATTTGTGTAATCTTGGTTGATATGTGTTTGCTCCAAGTTAGTCTCCTATCCAAGTGTATTCCTAGATATGTCACCTCATTGGCTCGTGGAATATGGACATTATTTAATTTGATCGGGGGGCATACTTGCGGTCTGAGTGAAAATGTTGTATGTTTACACTTCTGTTCGTTGACTTTTATGCGCCAGTTTGCCAGCCATTCTTCTATGCGTAGTAAATGTTCCTCCAGTACTTTGGAAGCTCTGTTGGGACATTTATTACGACTTACTAAGGCGGTATCATCAGCGAAGGTGGATGTGAGTATATCCTTGCTAGTTGGAATATCTGAAGTGTAGATGATATACAGCATAGGCCCGAGTACACTACCTTGAGGAACGCCAGCCGGTATCGACATGTCTTTTGAAGTGAAATTAGATACTTTTACAGCAAATTTTCTGTTAGTTATGTATGATTCAAATATTCTGTGGAATTCCGGCGGCAACAATTTTTTAATATTATATATAAGACTTTCGTGCCACACTTTGTCGAATGCTTGTGCCAAATCGAGAAAAATTGCAGAGCAGTACTCTCTGAGCTCAAATGCCCTTCTGATTTCATTTGTAATTCGATTAACTTGTTCAATTGTACCATGTTTTTCTCGGAAGCCAAATTGGTGTGCTGGTATTAAATTGCGTTCATGGAGAAAGGGAGATATCTTTGATAGGAGTACTTTTTCGAATACTTTGGAAAGACAGGGCAGTAAGCTTATTGGTCTGTATGAGGACGGCTGTATTGCGTCTTTTCCAGGTTTGGCTATCATAATTATCTTCGACCTTTTCCATGATTTCGGAAAGTAACCGAATTTGAGGATAGCGTTGAAAAGGTCAGAAAGATTTGCTAGTGCAACATTCGGTAGCTCTATTAGCATTTTCGGAGTTATAAAATCAGCACCCAGCGATTTCTTTGGATTAAGCTGCTTTACTATAGCTTTTACTTCTAAAGAGTTCGTCTTCTAGGTGTGTATAGCTCATTTGTATTTTTAGTTAGCCGTGGCAGCCTGAAGTTGTTCGTTGGACAGTTTGGCTGAAACACATTCTTTAAATGGTGTGAAAAACACTCGGCTCTCTCCTGCTCACTACGAGCCCAGGTACCACTTTGGTTCCTAATTGGCATTTCTGCCACAAGTTTTTCTATTTCGGTATTTGTAACTGATGTATGCGTAGGTGGTACTTGGACTTGACTTGGTGTTGCCAGGCCATCGGCTGAAGTAAAGGTTTCTTTAAAATGTTCAACAAGGGAGTCTATATCTCCCTCGCAGTTAAGTGCAGCGTTTAATTTAAGGTGACTACTGATATACTTTTTATATTTAAGCCAGTTGGTGTTATTTGAAGTTAGACGAGGCGCAATATCGATATTTTGGGTCTGTTCATATAGTTTTATTAATATAGGGGAGTGATCGGATGATAGTTCAGGTAGAGTTTCTGCTGTTATGTTATTTCAGTATATGTTTCTTGTAATTGCGAAATCTATTAGGTCTGGTATCTTCTTTATATCGGTGGGCCAGTAAGTAGGTTTACCGGGAGATGTGACCTCTAGCCTATTGTGCCTGTTTATAATGGTATTGTATAACTGCCGCCCTTTTGGGTTAATAAGGCGTGATCTCCAGCATGATAAAAATATAGTAAGGTAGAACCGCTGAGAGTCACTTTTGAAATTCTTGACGTTTCCAAACAATTTAATTTTTAAATTTACTCACAAACTCACACACACATTTTCATTTTCAATCTCAATCAACAACAATTTCGAACAATTTCAATTTTTTATTTTCACTTTTATATGATTTTAAAATGTTGGCAACCTTAAAAAAAAAATCATGGCCGACAAATTGAGAGAACGGTTCTACCTTGCTATTGCCTCCTGGCAGGAATCTATCAAAGAAATCTTTAAAGTCATTTTCAGAAATTAAAAATCGCGGTGGGCAATAAATAGCCCATAGATTTAAGTCTCGGTCGCGGTTTCGTAAGCATATGGTAGTTGCTTGCAGACAGGCTGTTGCTTTTGAGTCTAGAATATTGTGCTTTAGGCGATTTCTAATCAGCACCGCTGTGCCTCCATGAGCTTTACCATCTGGGTGATTTGTGGCATAGAATTTGTATCCAGGTATGGAGAAATTATATTTATTTGTTAAATGTGTCTCGGACAGTAGCATAACATCTATGTTATATTCAGTCAGAAATTTACTGAGTTCTAATCTACGCTGGTTTACACCGTTAGCATTCCATAAGCAAATTTTCAATTCACTCATTTTTTATTCACTAAAATTTGCAACAATTGGTTTTGAGCCTTTATGAGTTCTTGAATCATATTTTGCATAGAAGACATGAATTGAGGCATACAATTGGTAAGATTCAATATCATTCCTTCTATTCCAAAAGTAGGGGGGTTCGGCTGCATTTGCCCAGTATTATTCCTTTGAATATTTGCAAATGTTTCTTGATTGGAGTTTGATTTCGCCGTGCTTGGCTCCGTTTGTAGTTTTAATGCGTCGGCAAAAGAAACGTTGGGAACTCGCTGCGCGTTGGCAAATAAGGCTCCTGGTGTAGTGGTTGATGGCGTGAGGTGTTGGTATGTATAAGAGCTAGTTGGAGTGGTAGAAGAACGTACGGCTGTGTTGCGCTGATTCATGCGAGACTTTAAATCTTTGTATACAGGGCATCCCCTATAATTGGCGGTGTAGTTACCTCCGAAATTACTGCATTTCTTTGCAGTCACATCAGCTTTGATAGCCTTGCAAGAAGCGGAAG